TTTCTATCATGTTTTAATGTTTTGTTAATGTAGTGTTTTTCTTAATGTTGTAATGTTTTTCTTAATGTTGTATTGTTTTTCTTAATGTATTGTTTTTCTTAATTTTGTATTGTTTTTCTTAATGTTGTAATGTTTTTCTTAATGTTGTAGTGTTTTCCTTAATGTTGTAATGTTTTCCTTCATGTTGTAGTTTTTTGTTAATGTTATATTGTTTTCCTTAATGTTGTAGTGTTTTTGTTGATATTGTAGTGTCTTCGTTCATGTTGTAGTGTTTTTGTTCGTTGTAGTGTTTTTTATTCATGTTGTAGTCTTTTTATTCATGTTGTAGTGTTTTCCTTGATGTTGTAGTTTTTCCTTATTGTTGTTGTGTTTTCTTTCATGTTGTAGAGTTTTTCTGTTCATGTTGTAGTGTTTTTGTTAATGTTGTAGTGTTTTCATTAATGTTGTAGTGTTTTTGTTAATTTAACGCTTTAGTTATTTGTAATTGTGCTTTCAACTTTCTGTAGCGCTTTGCACTTAAGGGCCACCATACTTATACCATGCAAATGCCTTATATTATAGCAGAAACGCAACCGTAAAAAAGGCTTGCAGTATTAAATTCTGTTGCAAGTACTGATCAGTACATCATTGCTAGAGAACACAAAAATGACTAATTCTCCCATGCCCCTTTATTGGGCTTCGTAGAGGCCAAACAAGTTGTAAATAATCCTTTTAAAAGAAAAAATGTGTTTTCATTTTGTACATCAACAACCCAGGTCTTCCCAGGCTGAATAACTGCTAAATAAAAGAATGTCAAATATGAGAATCACATCACTGCATCCACTGGATATAATGATACTTTTGTGCTCTAGACATATTCGATTCCCAATTTTCATTTTTCTATATTTGTCCAGATCCTGTACTGAAAAAAAATTCAGACATTTAAAGACTGGATAGGGATCCTGCGCGTAGTTCAGTAGTTTGTGTGAAAGATGCAATAAAATACAAACTGTCAGAAGTACAAATTCACCTTTTATTGTAAATTATTAATTGTTATCTTCTGTACTAATGTAAAGTATTAAGATACTTATTTTATTTATCCTAACAAAGATGATGCTAGTTACAAATAGCTAAAAGAGAAACCCTGTTAATCTTGACCTGTGATAAAAATCATTCCCACAGCATGATGCTGCCACTCCTACATTTATGGCTTTCATGTTTATCTAAACTCAAATGTGTTCTTCGTCAGTCAGTCAGTGTTCGTACAGCAAGAAAAAAAACTACACATTGACAATAATACCGACTCCTAAAAAAATAATGTAATAAAAATCAGATTTCAGTTATAAAATATGGTTTTATCTGACATTAGATAACTAATTAAATCTGTCTCTAAGAGAACAAACAGTGCACTTCACTTAATGGTGCTTTAAATACATATTCTTTGTCCTGTGATTGTTGTAAATAATGTCCAAAATTTTAATCCTGCACAATGTCCAAACTCAGCAGAGAAATCATGTAATGATTTGAATTTTTTCATGAAAACCAGCAGAAAGTTAGAGAAGATGTGCAGCCAGGACCGATTCCAGATGTTTAAGGAGCAATTAATGGGTTGCTGGAGGTTTAAAGGCATTTTCACATGTTTGTGCTTCATTTGGTTGTTGGTTACTGCTCTAAGAATCAAAAACGATTTTCACAGCCACAATAAGCTGCGTGTAGGGTCACAGTACAGATTAATTTGAGTTGGAGTTTTTACACTGATGGTTTTCCCTGAATCAGTTTCTTCCTCTGAGCTGCGTCTCATTTGGACAGCAGCGACGCCGGGAGAGACGGCTGCCGGCGCCTGATCTCCTGCTGCAGCTGCTCCTTCAGAGTGGAGACCTGAAGTGAGGAACAAAGATGTTACATTTTAATCTGAATTACTAATCACATGACTATAATCTGTAATCCAACCTGGAGTGGGAGACAGGAAAGAGAGGGCAGCTTTTACAGACTCCATTATGATTAAACAGCATCTTTATAAGACTTTAACGCATTTAAACAAAAATAAAAGACTGAAATTCCTTGATAACGTAAAGTATGACTAGATAAAGTACCTAGAAAAGAGTTTGAGATACAAATAAAGTGCTTGGCAATGTGATACTTCCCACAATGCATTATGTTACATCCACAATAGTCAATGTTGCCACAAAGTAGTGCATCATTTTAAAGTGTAAGAAATAAGTGGTTTTGGGTTTAATAATCCTGATAATTAATTCTCATGGCGTCTGTGTTGTTTACAACCTGAAAAGTTGATCAGTGAGTGAATTATTTCCTACTTTTGTTGACTTTCTAGCTTAAAGTTTCCAACTGCAGCTAATTTATTAGACCATGTTTTAGTCATCTTCTGCAGTTTTTAAAGAGTCAAAGTTCAAACTGGGAAGCATTTCGTGTCGCCGTTACTTGATGAATCTGATCAATGACTGGTTCTGTGGCAACGCTTACAGATAATGTGAGATTTCCACAACAGTTCTGAAACAGGTTTTATATTTCTGGGTTTCAAGTGTCTGGAAACAGCAGCGCAGCTGAAGGTGGCAGAAAGTTTACAAAGCAGGAACATTGAGGATCCGTTAGGTTTTACGACATAATCTTTACCCAGCTTTACTGAGGCTGGTTCAGCCCATTAGACATCTGTTATGTTTCTTTTTAAACTGTGTTGGACTGTGTATTTTTTTTATTTATGGAGAAGCAGCTGCTGTGCGTTTGTGGGTCCTGCATATATATTTGCAAACAAAACAATTATTTTCTATGGAAAACAATGCAGACGGCCTGGCCCACCTGCTCCTCCAGGCCTTTGACCCGGTGGCGGTGAGCTCGCTCCCTGGTGCCCAGCGTCCGCTCCACGTCCCGGAGACTGCTCCTCATCTTCTCGGCCTCCCGCTGGACCTCGTCACGCTGCTGCGCCAAACTCTCACACAGGCTGTGTGAGTGCTCCATGTCAACCAGCTGAGTCTGCTCCGGAGGAAACGCACAGGGAGGGCGATGAGGAGGCAAGAAGGCAGCAGACACGACGTCCATTTAATGATCCAACTAATACGCACGGCGTGTTTTAATTGAAACAGCTCATTTTCCAGACACAAAATAACATTAACTTATTGCCAAACAACAACTCAGTGTTTTTAAACATCTGGGATTTTTAAAGAAGCATCTTAGATCCAAATGGAAGCATAAAAACATCCAAAATGTACAAATTAAATTATTATTTCATCATAAAGTGAGGTTGACTGATGCAATGAATTCATTGCTCAAAAGTTAGTTTTTGTCACATCAAACTGATGTCTTAATTCTTTGATAATAAAACAAAATAAAATGTTTTGCCACAAGGAATCCACAAGGAAACACTTTCATTGTTTCTAACTAATTGTTTGCTTGTTTTCATTTGAATTGTGCAGGATCTACTGTCATTAAATTTTCTCTTTCCCCCACCACAAAGAAAGTTTTTTGATTCCAGGAATAAACAAAAATGCAATACTAATTGTCTTTTTGAGGTTCCTTTAACTGCTGTTGTTTTCCCATTTCTGCAGCCTGGGAAACATTTGAGTAAACAAGGAAATGTCTGAAGCACTAAATCTCCTTGAAATCAACAACTTAATAGATTCTGAATTCCACTAAAACTTCCTGCAGTTTTGTTCCCGTTCACTTGTTTGTGGCCTTTCTGTGGCGGGTTTAAAAAATAGTTAATATGACCTAAAAATGACAGGAATTAAACTCAGTGTATGGAAAATTTAAAAACGTTTTTTTGCACACTGCAAGGAAAAACAAGTCTTTCTTATTAAACGTGGGTAACATTGATCTCAGATGTCTGCTTAGAGGGGACATTGAATCTCTTCTTTTCCTGCTTTTTCACAGCAAATTGTGAGTGGATAATTATACGCCACACAAGTATAAAAAGCCGATGTAAGAATGCAGATTTTTCTTAATGTCGAACATGTGTTTGTTTTTCTTTAGCCAGCTGAGATTTCCACTAGAGCTGTGAGATAAATCAATTTGATCAATTAATCATATGTTTTGTGAAGATTGAATTTTTAGAAAATCTGGATTTTTTTTCTACCAATGCACTTTTGAGTTTTGATAATTCAGAGTGACGTTAGCACGCCGTGGGCGGCCATCTTGTTTCACAAGCATGTTTCACAGCTTCAGTTTACTTTGAATCTTTAGAAGATCAGCAGATTTTTTTTCTTCTTTAATTATGAGAATAAAGTAATAATATCAGGAGAATGAAGTGGTTACTTTATGAGAACTTCAGCACAAAAAAATTACACAAGCTTTTTTGTCATTAAAACAACTTTTTCTTGTAATTTTAAGACTTTTGTTAAAGTTGTGTCTTTACTCTGATAATATTATGACTGTGTTCTTGTAATAATTAGACTACATTTCTTGTCACCTGGCCTTAATACCCCATAATACACATCACAGAAGAATTGATTGAAATAAAAGCCAAAATATTTCCTGTCATTTGTAATTTCTTATTAAGAAAAGGAAGCATGAAAAACAAAATTAATTAAAAAACATAAATTGACTCTGGTATGACAAATATTAGAGATTTAATATCTATGCCAAGTCACCCAGCCTTCCCTCCTGCAGTCATTGCTAAGCAGTAGTCTGGTGAAGCTTTATTCTGCTTACTGGTTTCATTTCTGATGAATCTGTTTTGCGCCTCATCCTCACCTGAAGCATCAGTATTTGCTGCTGCGCCTCCTGAAGTTCCTGCTCTGCCGTGTTCAGCGAGCGATCCAGACGGCTCCTCTCAGCAGAAAGCCGCATGCTGTCCTCCTCGGACTTCAGCTTTTGACGTTCGACCTGCCGTGGTCCAGGTTTAGTTTAAGAAACGAACACCACGACTTCAGCTTTGTAGAGGAAATGAACCGGGACTTGCCTTATCCAGGGTGTTCCTCAGAGCGTTCCTGTCTTTCTCCAGCCTCACCGCCTGCCGCTCTGCGTCCTTCTTCTCCGTCTCCAGCAGAGCCACCGCTCTCTGTAGCGCGCGCAGCCGCTCCTCTAGGACGGCCCGCTCCGTCTGGACCAGCTGGGCGCTCCGCTGAGCCTCCACAAGGCTGGCCGATCGCTGACGCAGAGCCTGAGAGGAGAAAACAGACTTTACTTCTTCTGAAGAAACTCCGTGACACTCGCCTTCATCCACCAGAAAATTGTCCAAATTGAATTTACAAAAATAAATTTGCTTGATAGAGGAACGTCGCTCCATACAAAGCATTTGAGTCACAACCGGATGTTACTACTGGCGAAAATGACAAAGGAGACGACAGGAAGAGGTAAGATTTCGGACAGCTGGCTCCACTAGAGGTTTGGACTATTCTTAAAACGTTTTGCGTCATTTGATCTTGAATCCATAGCTCTTCCGTAAACTAGTTTCTCCAAAACACGCCATAAATGGTTCCTCCCAAGTCTAAGCGATGTGATGCTCCAACACCCGACGTCTTCTCAGATGCAAAACGGCTGAATTATGAATATAATTTCATGTGTTTACATTCATCGCAGCCATGGTTTTAATGATTTATCATCTGAACAGGCTTTTTCACATGTGAGTTTTATTTCATTTCTCATTTAATGGAAACAGGACAACTTGAAGTGGTGTTGTTTTGACATGAGGAGAATTTTAACAAGGATTGGTTTGTAACAGAAACTCAGCTGATCTCTCTGACCTCCTGAGTGCCGCTGAGCTCGGCCTCCAGCTCTTCTCGCCGCAGCTCGCTCTGGTTCAGCTCACTCTGCAGGTCCTGCACGCGCTCAGTAAGGGCAGCCATGTTTCTCTTCCCTTCAGCCAGAGCTGCACGTGCTTCATCCAGACGCTCCTAATCAAAGCAAAACATCCATCAAATTACAATGAACTTTTTATTCACAGGCGGCCTTCCTGCAATCTGACCCACAAACCTGCAGGAGCCTCTTGTCCTGCTCAGCCGAACCGAGCGTCTTCTGCAGGGCGAGCAGACGGCTCTGCATGCCGCTGTGGGAGGCCGTGACCTCCTGGAGGGTCTGGCTGAGGGATGCGGCCTTTTCCTTAAGAGCAGATTCGCCTTCCTGAGCTTTCAGCAGGTTCTGACTCATTCTGTCGACGTCCCTCTGCAGCTGGGAAACACGAGATTCTCGCTCTGCAACCTGCAGCAGGTAGAAGACACAAAAGCAATCCAGGATCCGAGTTTACTTTCTGAAAAAGTCTTGAACTGTCACTGATTTAGTTTAATATTTCCTGAAATCAACATGTCCCCCCTGTTATTAAAACAGCTATGCAGTGGGAATATGTTGAAAAGACAGGGAGCTCTGATTATGGATGAAGGTTTGCTTGCTGGAAACCTGAGTGAACACCATGGATACTAATGTGAAGATGGATTTCTTCTCCTCCAGAAATAACTGTCTCTCTGCTGTAAACGTGTTTTGCTCCAGGATTATGAAAAAATTACAATATTGACTTTAAAGAAGGAACAACTCAAGGTTGAGGAAAAACACAAAACCTTACCAATTATTTTTGATCTGGTTTGTGTGGAAATACACAAATTACACTTGAATTAAGAGTCAGGCATAATAAATGTAGAGAAAATGAGTAAAAATCTGCCATTTTAATATTTAAAGAGGAAATGTGCAGGGAAAGATGGAGGGAAGACATCCATGGACTGATAGAGACATTTAAAAATCAGACAGAAAACATCTCTCCTTTGAAAGAAACTGCAGAGAAACTATGCATGGTGCAAAACGTTTGCGTTGCGTCGGACTGTAAAGCTGCTTTCGAAGTTGCAGATGCGTTTCTTTTTTTGCAGACCTGTTTGATCAGAGCGTCGTGGCGCTGCTGCGACGCCTGGCTCTCGGCCTCACGGTCCCCCAGACTCAGCTTGAGTCTCTGCAGCTCCCCCTCCAGGCTGCGCCTGCCCAGCTCCACCCTGGTGGCCCGAGCCTCGGCTGCCTCTAGCGCCTCCCGCAGGCGCTTCCTCTCCGCCTCCAGGCGCACCTCGGCGGCCCGCTGCTTGTTCAGCTGATCCTGCAGAGGAGCGGGGTGCACAGAGTTCACGTTGGTAAGGTTTGCTGCATTGTGGAAGGTGTTGGCAGCAGAGGGTGACATCTGTTGTTATTTCAACTCCTGACAGCTCACTTTAATAAATCCACTGTTGAGTGCAGCCATATGGCGACGGCAGGTCGCCCGTGATCCCTCGCTGTGAGAGTGATTGCGTAAAGAAGAGCGTGTACCTGGGTGTGCTTCTTATCCGCCTCTGAGGACTGCAGCAATCGCTCCAACTCCTTCACCCGGTCGGAGAGAGCTCTCCTCTCTCTGTCTCCTCTCCTCACCGCCTCGTCCTGCTGCTGCAGCAGGACCTGAGTGGTGGTCAGACGCTCATCCAGCCCACGCTTCACTGAATGAAACATCGCAGGAGTTAACTAGCTCTGTGCATTATTTTTCAGTGCGTCCTTGAACAGGTCAGGTCTACACAAAACATGTTTATTACATTTTTCTTAGATAATGAGGTTTCAGTCAGGTCAGTTCTGCCTATTGTGAACTCCTTTCAGAGCGAGCTGTTTCTGGGACTCCTGTCTCTTTAAACCCAATTGAGCTGCTATTGGCCAACTCAGCTACACATGAACCACATTTAAATACTGCTACGTGTTTGAAAAGCAGAAGAAAAGCCTCCTGCACAACCAACAATCTGAATAGTAAATTAACCACAAAGCTCTTCTCTTTTCCAGCAGCCATTGTACAGCACATAAAGAGCTTTAAATGCATTGCTAATACTATGCAAAAATACTTAAGTGATTAAATAAAATATCTGTAGAATGTGTAATTTTTTATGTGATCAATCATTGGAATAAATCAGTAGATTAATTGATTAATTGCAGTCGTATATTTCATTATCTTTGTATTCGAACCTTCTTGCAGCTCCTGCAAAGAGCTCTGCAGCAGAGAGAAGCGACTCTGAGCAGAGCCGCGTTCCCCCTTCAGCTCCTCCAGCTCCCGCTGCAGGACCCCCAGCTGGCAGCGAGCGTCATCCTGCAAAAGCAGCAATACCAAGTATTTTCCAAGAAAAAAAAAATATATATATAATTCATAAGGTTTTGCTGTTGTGCTGCAGGTGTGCTACCCTTTCTCTTTGTGCGTCTCGCAGCTCCTGGAGGAAATCTCTGAGGCCACTTCTCAGGGAATCTGGGTCCAGTTCAGACTGAGGCAGCGGCGTGTCGCCTCTCTCTGGAGAAACGGCACCAGAACCCAGCGTGTTGTCCGGCGTGCTTCCATGAAACTCTGCTTCAGTCACAACCAGAGATAACTTCACTTTGTGCTGCGACATTTTGTGAAATAAACCAACATATTCTCTGCAAATTTACAGTATATCGACCTATTTTGTATTGTTTTGTATTGTTGCAACCTATGATGCAACAAATGATTATTTAAGTTACATCCGACTTTAGTTTGATCACTCTAAAGTTTTTTTGGTTTTCATGGAGAAATATATGTTTCAAATTATCAATACCAACTGATATGAAATGTTCATATTGTGATGCGTTTTTCAGCCATGTTGTAATTTCCTGTGGTGATGCTGAACATTTCTCAGCACATTAACAAAACAACAAACTTTACTCAAGTGACCAGAACATGGTGTCTGTTGACCTTTAGATGGCGACAGTGAGGAGCGCAGCGGCGAGATGCTGTGGTGGCGCGACACGCTGCCCGGTGACGTGCAGCTGCTTCCGGGGCTCCGCCCCCTGCTGCCCCTGCCGCTGGCCCCGATGCCCAGCGTCCGGGTCAGGGCAGACTGGAGGCCGCTCAGCCGGAACTCCAGGTCCCTCCTGGCGGCTTCGGCCCGGGTGAGCTCGGCCTCGGTGGCGGCCAGCCGGCCCTGCGCCTCGCTCAGCTGCAGGCCGGACAGAGCGGCGGCGTCGTGGGCGGCCTGAGCACGCAGCGACAAGTTCTTGGCTTCGTCCTGGAGCTTCTTCTCGCAGCCGCGGGCGTCCTGCAGCTGAGCCGTCAGCTCTCTCTCACAGCTGCGCCAGTCGGACTCGGACTCCGTCAGACGTCTCTGGGTCAGGGTGAGCTGGCACAGAGCTAAACATTAACACGGCGCTGAGGGGACAGAGACAAGCAGGCAAACACACCGTCCTCACCTCCTTCTTGATGGACTCTCTGGTTGTTTCAGCTTCAGTGAGCTTCTGCTTGAGGGAGAAGACTTCCTTCCCTCGCTCCTCCTCTCTTTGCTCCTCCAGAACCAGCCGAGTCTGCAGCTCTGCCACCTCCCTCCCTCTCTGCTCCTTCTCTGCATCTACAACCTTCAGCTGGAGCAAAGAAAACATAATTACAGAATATCCTGTAATCTGAACCTTTAAAGCAGATCCTTTATGTAAAAGTTACATTTTGCACATTTTTATACGTTCATTTGCACATCTGTTGGATTGTGAGTCCAATATTTTTATTCGTAGTAACAGCACAGTATCTTCTTGAACTGTATATTGCAGGACTGCTTGGTCAGCAGCAGTTTGTTAGGATTTAAAGTGACAGAAGACTAAAATATTCTTAAAGGGTCATTCAGGCAGAACTGGCCAGACTAAAATCTAATTATCTAACAATGATTTTGTGCAAAAAAATGTAGTGAACTTGTTTTGTAAAGCCAATAGACCAAATGCTGCTCAAGGAAGCAAAATGAAATAAAATTTCTATGTCGGAGATCTTCTGACCTGTCTGCGGAGCTCCTGCAGCTCCCGCCGAGCCTCCAGGCGTGACCTTTCGACCTCTCTCAAACAGCTGCGCAGCTCGGCCACTTCCTTCTGAGACGACGACAGGTTCTCCTCCAGCACAGCCAGCCTCTGCTCCTTCTCCTCACACTGTCGCTTCACACTAACACACACACACACACACACACACACACACACCACACACACACACACACACACACACGTTGAGAATAAAACACCTTTCCCTCTGTAAACACACCTGTCTCCACTCTCCCACCTGATCCTCTCCGTCTCCGCGCTGCGCAGCGCTCCTCTCAGCTGAGTGTTGGACTGGCTCAGAGCGTCCCTCTCCTTGGTGACGTCGCCGAGGCTGCGCCGCAGCTCCGTCGCATCCCTCCTGCAGTTCTCCGACGCCTCCTCAGTCTGGCTCAGCCGGCGTTCGGCCTCCAGCAGGCTCCGCCTCACCTGGTCTCGGCTCTCCTCCGCCGCTGACAGAGAAGCTCTGCACTGCTCCAACTGGACAAACAATGGTCCTTCATCGTCACGACAAACAGTCACCTGACCGTTGCTGCGGGTTTCTCATAGGAGTGTTCAACATTTTCAGCATTTTGCGAAGTCTTGTATTTAAAATGCTTTCTTCTGCGCTGCGTCGTTTACCTCCTGGAGAGCGAGGTCGGCTCGCGAGCGCAGGTCAGTGCAGAGCTCCTGCAGACCGTGGAGTTCCCTCTGATGAGCCGACGTCGCCTCGTCCAGCCGAGAGCGAAGCTCCAGCAGCTCACCGGTCAGAGCGCCAACTCTGACCTGAAGATAAAAACAAAACAAAAAAACAGTCACTATATTTGTTAATCTGTGTACTTTTAGATTGAAACAGCAGTCGGGCTGAAACGATTAATCGGACTGGTGGCAACAAATCAATTCATGAAATATTTTACTAATTGATTAATCGTAAGCTGGACTATACAGACTCCAAAAAAGGCAATTTGCCGAAAGAAGAACAGACTCAGAGCAGTGATTCAGACAAAACTGTAAAAAACATGAACAATTTAATAATTGAGACAACAGAATAAACTTTGATCCACCCAAAACTCCTCAGTTTGCAGAGTTTTATCGTCACCCGGTTCAAATTCTGCAAAAGAATCTCCTGAGAAACTGATCAGTTTACCCAGAAATAGCCAACAGATCAGCAACAGATCAGACCTATTGATGATCTGTTGCAGAAAAGGCCTGAGTCCTTCACATTGATGTTAGGAGTCTTATGACAAATGATCACAAAAGCAAAGCTGTGTTGTTGCTATTTGGGAAAGAAAATTATCATTTTCTGATTTTAAAAGGAATTTGTTTATTTAAAATTTCTAATGTATTTCTAGTGTTTTATATAAAAAACTTCGATGAAAAATCTACAGAAAGTAAGATTTTTTAATCGATGAATGGTAATTAGTCACTAAAACAGCTGTAGGAGATCAATGCATCACCTGCTCCTGCTCTCTGAGCTGAGCTGCTTCTCTTGCCGCCCGCTCGGCCTCCAGAGCCGCAGCCGACAGCTCCGCCTGCAGACCGGACACTCTGTCACACAACACCGCCTTCTCCGCCTCCTTCAGCGAGAGCGCCTGTGGAGGAACAGTTCAACAGCTCACTTAGATCAGCTGGAGCAACTCGCTTTTATTTTGGGCCACATCGAGGTCGAGAATTTTCTCAAGCGTTGATTGTGTCAGAAAGTATTGATTAAACCCATTCAGAAACTATGAACATTTGTAGATATGCGCTTAAAATTACATGCACAGTCAACATCATTTATCAGTTCTTTCAGGATTTTACAATTGTTTTTATAATTGTTTTGCAATAAAAATGAAATATTTAGAAATATTTGCAAGAAATTTTGTAATATTTGCACACATGTATGATGGTAAATGTGACTTTTTGTTACATAGATAAACTAACTGGGCATCAGGTTAGAGAAACTGCCACCTGCTAATGAGAATTAGCATTATGTAATTTTCCATTAGTGAGAAATAAAGTGGCAATTTCTGTGAAAACTGGTGGGACTGATTGGTGTAATTTAGCAGTAAACAGATAAAAGCTGCATTGACCTGATTGATAATATTTAAGCACACAATTGTTATCTTAAAGGTGATATAGATGCTCTCCAAATTAATTTAGAGGCCCATATAAAGAGCTATGTTGACCCAAATTTGGCCCCCGGGCCTTGAGTTTGACACAGATGACGAAGAGTGCAGTGAATGTGAGAAGCAGCAGCTGTCAGGTCTCCGGGTCGGACCTGCTGTTTCTCCGTCTCGGCCTGCAGCAGACTCTGGTCTCGGTCGTGCTGCAGAGCCCTCAGCTCCTCCTGCAGCTCCTCTCTGTCTCTCTTCGCTCTGTGCTGCTGGTCGTCCATCTCCTGCCTGCACCGCCTCAGAGCTGCTTCATGCTCCATCTGCAGGCTGTGACGCACCACTTCCTGCGGCACAAAGGTCAGCAGAGCAGACACTGAGAGCCCGTCGGTAGATTACACTTCAAAACCAGCATGTTGAAGGGATTCTCACCTTTTCTGAGACCAGCCTCTCCACCTCCTCCTGATGCTCAGACATGGCCTTACGTAAAGCCTGCTGAGCCTCCAGCTGCGCGGCGCTGAGGGACTGAACCAGAGTCTGTTTCTCTCTCTCCCCCTGCGCCAGGGCGATCTCACCATCTGAGCGCAACCGCTTCAGCTCAGCTAGAAAACACGTAAAGGAGAACAACACACATCCTCACACTGGTTATTCCCTCCAGGGTGCTGCGGTGTTTTGGTGACTTTTTTTTTGCAAAGATAATAAAAGGTTTTGTGCCAGAATGAACTGATATTTGAGTCTGTCTCCAGTGAGAATAATGAGCGTCTTTTCACAGTGGTCGTCCCTCCAGGATTTCTCGTTTGTTTTAGTGATTTTCTAAAATGAAAATGACTGATCTAATTTCAAATTTTTTGCTTGTGTGATATTAAATATGATTCGCAATACAGAATGCTAATACATAATTTAGCAGTAAACTTACAATTAACATTAAAAAAATATGCGTGATTTAATTGATCAAATAAAATTTAAGGTTCCATTATTGTCTAGAGTATAGATAGCCACATAAAACCCTGCGGTGGACCAGATCCTTCATGCCACGTGTTATCTGTCAATATTGATCACGTGTCTACAGCGATATATATTGTTATTGATTTGTTGCCGTTTGATTGATTGTGTTTCAGACATGCAGCTAGTTTTCTGCTGTTCTGGGTTTTCACCTGCCGCCGTCTCGCAGCGGGCGCTCAGCGTTTGGTTCTCGGCCTCCAGCTGATCTCTGCGGGACTCGACCTGCGCCAGCTGCTGCTGCACCTCAAACAGACCCGTTTCCAGGGATTCCCGCTCAGACCTGCAGGGGCAAAGACACCAAGACATTAAGTGATAAAGCCGAATAATAGATCGATTTTAGGGGAGCTGGTGAAGCTGCAGCTTCAGGGTTTTTACATGATAACGGATCAGTTGTGACCTGAAAGCAGCCAGTTCCTCTGACAGCGCCGAGTTT